CTGGCTCTCAATGCACATCTAAAGAAAAAATCAAGCTTAGTGTACACAGATTGTATGGGTGTTCATTGTAGCTTGTGAGCAGGGCTTCTGAATCAGATGCTTGGTCAATCAAAGTCCGTATTGTCTGTGCTGACTGGCAGGGTCTTTCCAGGGTCTTGGGCAGAGGACTTTCACATCAACTACTCCCTGTTCCTTCAAACTGGAGCATCAACCTGGGACGTTCTGCGTATAAAGGAGATTGAACTGGGGACACCCCCCCCAAGGAGAAGTCTGATCATGAAACTGCCTTATAGTGTGGCTCTCCAGGACCTCAGGCAGAGGTCATCCACATCACCTACCATCAAACCAGGCCTGTAGCTAACGCGGGGCCCACGGGGCCCAGCCCCCTCACGTTTCTTCTGGGTCACCTCCCTCCTGGGCTGTCCCCGAAGTGCCTCAACTTGCCACCTGCGTGCCACGCTGCCTCCAACCTGGCTGCCCGACAACTGAGCTCCTTGGGCACGCCAGAGAAGTGGAATCCTTCGTCCCCAGAGCTGACACTCCCCTCCCCTTTAAACTCAGCCAAATTGCCGCCAGCTCCTGCCGGCTTCTCTTCCTCACCATCCACCCTCTCTTAACCACAGGACCAGTCTCTGTACTCCAGCCCGTGTGTGCCTGCTTTAAAAACCGCCTGCCTAACCCCCACCACCACCCGAGTCCCCCCAACAAGCCCTGTGGGAGTTTTTCTAAGGGAGCTGTGGAGAGCGCTCACCAGAGGCACCGAGGGGCAGCCCTTTACCTGCCCTCTGCACGTCAGATGTTTGGGAGCTGCAAGTGCCCCCACTGCACGTGCTCCCTCCGGGCTTCCGTGACTGGTGGCAACGCACCAGGCAGGGGGGAGTGAAGGAGGACGACCACTCCTGCTGCTGCCACCACCTCCCTCAACCACTTCCCCTACCCGCCTTGTCCTCCCGCCCGGCAAAGTGGCCGAGAGAGCGCGTGGCCTGCCGCCGCCACCGGAGGGTTACTTGGAACTTTTGATTAAATTAGCTGCGGGGCCCCCATGGCCCCCTCCCAAAAAAGTCCCTAGCTACGGGGCTGCATCTAATCCTTCTATCTGGAGAGGCTGTGGATTGAGCTAGGGGCCTTCTGCATTCCAAGCAAATGTTCTGCCACCGAGCCACAGATGTTCTGCCACCGAGCCACATCTCCTTCCTAAGAGGCTTCAAGGGCAAAAATGTTAGGCAGTACTTTCCCACAATCTTTCTGCTCTGAACTAAACTTTGTCTTCTTATCTGGGACTGAGCATGGTCCCGTACCTGGGGAGAGTGACTGGCCCGAGGTCACCCAGTGAGCTTCCATGGCCGGTGGGGATTCAAACCTGGCTCTCTCAGATTCTAGTGTGATACTAACCACTACTCTGTGCTGGCTCCACAACCAGGAGCTACCTAGGCCAGGGGTGGCCAAACGTGCTTGACGTAACAGCCACACAGAATAAACGTCAGATGTTTGAGAGCCGCAAGACATGGACAAATATTACACGATTTTATTGATAATTATGCAATTTTGCTTTTTATTAATGTTAAATAAGACTGTGTAGAAGAGCCGCATGCAGCTCCCGAACTGCAGTTTGGCCACCCCTGATCTAGACGGAGCCCAGCCAAAGGATTGGCTTGTCCAAGATCACTGGCACGGACCGGCAGGAGCCCTCCAGAAGTTCAGGAAGGGGAATTATCCACCCCTGATAACACAAGTTCCAGTAATTGAGGGCCAGAATTACATGTGACTCTAGGAATCTGTGATTGATGGATA